AATATGAAAACCTTTCCTGGCCCAAATGTTTTTCGTTTTGGCGCAAAATTCTTTCACCCACGCAAAAAAGCACATCTTCACCGCTTCTTCATCGATTCACCGCTTCTTCATCGATTCACTTCACTGGAATAAAAAGACGAACCCTAAGACAGCTCACCACCGTCATCCTTCTCCGTCGATCTCAGCTGCCGTCATCAGCTCACCACCGTCATCCTTCTTCGTCGATCTCAGCCACCGTCATCAGCTCACGACCGTCATCCTTCTCCATCGAAAGGAGCCGCCGTCATCAGCTCACCACCGTCACCCTTCTCTTCATTGATATCCGGTAATCTTTCTTTTCTCAAATTATTACTTTGTGTTGTAAATTGTAAAATTAGGGATTTGTAAAATTAGGGATTTGTAAAATTAGGGTTGCACGCTTGATACAGAAGGAGAGAAAGAAAGGGTCATCAAATAAGAGTAAGTGAGGTAACTTACAGAAGGAGAGAAAGAAAGGGTCATCAAATGCATCGAAGATGCTATTCAAAGAAGAGTAAGCGAGGTAACTTACAAATTTCAATTGATTTCTGCTAGCAACTCTTCTGCATTATGTTAAAGAACTTGATTTTTTGTGTTCTAAAGTTTTCTCGGGTAATCTTTGTTCACAGGGTGTGAGCCTTGAGTTGTGTGCAAAGGATAGAGTGGGATTGTTGTCGGAAGTAACAAGGATTCTAAGAGAGAATGGCCTGACAGTTTGTAGGGCAGGTATATCAACTAAAGGGAAGGAAGCACTTAATGTCTTCTATGTGAGGGATGCATCAGGGAACTCAGTGGACATGAAAACCATAGAAGCGCTTCGTAAGGAAATAGGCAAGACAATGATGGTAGATGTTAAGAAGGTACCAACATATGACAAATGAATGTATTAAAGGCTAAACGGTTTATTATGAGAACACTGCATAAAGATAAAACAAACTTGGCCTAAATGTGATGTTTTTAGTTCTTTTCACTGATTTGAGTTTGATTATTAATATTATAGATGATGAGACTGCCAATCCCACAAATGTTGCAGATTCTCACGTGGACTGCTCTGCAGTACTTAAAGTGAGAACACTGCATATTAGCTCCGCCATCCTGGATGAGAAGAGTATGTTCTTCTACAAGGTTTGTGTCTTTTCTTTGTTACTTATATTTGAATACTTTTCGTAATTTTGTTTGTTCAGTTATGTGTATTATTTTGCAGCTCTTCACTAATGGGATGAGGGAGTCGCAGCAGACACATGTCACCCTAAGAATCACTGCATCTGGTATATAAAAAGCTTTTTAGATTATTTGTTTATTTAGATTTTTTTTCTCCAATAGTTGGCTTACTGATGTTGATTTATTATGCATGTGACAGAGGAAGCTCCATTCATGGAGCTTTTGAACTTTATGTACAACAGTTCTCTAAATACGACCTCACCGCTAGTTTGCTGGACATCTTTATAGCGGCGGACAAGTTTGAGGTGCCGTCCTGCATGAAATACTGCAGCCAGGTATTGTTGAACATACCCATGACAGTGCAGTCTGCGTTGCTCTACCTAGAGCTTCCTTTATGTGTGAGAATGGCTAATGCTGTTAGGCCATTGGTTTTAGCAGCAAAACAGTATCTCGCTTCTCATTAAAAGGACATCACAAAGTATGTTTTTCTTTTCTTTGTTTAAATTAGTCCTATGATATGTGTTATAAACTTCTTGTAAACATACTTTTTTATAAATTACCATATGCCCTGAGCATAGCTCGTTAGAAAAACAAAAAAACTATAATGTATTTTATGCACTTTCAAAGAATAGAATGTTCAAATGATTATTTAGGACATGGTTGATATATTTATACTCATATAGTGAATCATTGCTGATTTTTTGAACTCTAATAAGTTCTATTATTGACCAGGCATCTAGAGTTCACTAGATTTTATTATCGTTTCTTGCTTTAACAACTTTCGCCAACTCCTTTAATTGCTTCAATTAGCTTAATCAATATTAACATTTGAGAAGCCTGTTAATATCACTGAAAGGGCTATGATTCTCAGAATACCATGACCCCCATTTAATTGTTTTGGAATAGCTAAGTTCTTGATTTGATCATATATTTCCTAACTTTGATATGATAATTGTACTTTCTTGTCGCATGACTTGAAATTGCCTGCATAATATTTTGTTTGAGTCATGTGCTTTTATAACTGAAAACTTAAAGGGTGTTTTAGTTAATGATTTCTATTCTAAACATGTTAGATTCTAATGGTGATGGTAATGGCATATCCAATCAAAGCAGTAGCTGACAGTTTCGAAGACAGGAAACTGGGAGTAAGTCAGTTCGTGAGAAGATTCTACTAGTTGCATACTTTCCCACTATGTTAAGCAGTTGATATGGTGATAGGAATGTTAGCATGAAGAATAGTGATTAGCAGTTGCTTTAATTTTTCACACTTTCTTGTGAAGCAGCCATGAATGCTCTGAAGCTGCTTTAACATGATAAAAGCAGCCATGAGTCATGTGCATACTACAAGACACTAGATTATCAGCTAGCAGAGCCTGGGAGGTTCTGTAATCTGCTTGATATGAATGCTTACTTTGGAGGCTTTGCAGCTGCAATGATTGATGATCCAGTTTGGGTCATGAATGTTGTTCTCGTCGAGGCCGAGATCAACACCCTCGGCGTCGTTTTTAAACGAGGATTGTTTGGAACATATCAGAACTGGTATATTTTTCTTTCATTTACTAGCCCATTTTCACTAACAGTTCTTAACTAGATTCTGTTACATACATAGTAGAGTACAAAGTAGCTTTTATTTTGTTAGAGTGGAAAGTAGCTTTTTGTTTGCCTAACTAGATTTGCAGCATGAATCTTTTAAAAAGTGAATGCATTATTTGTAACGTGCACCATTAACTTAATTTTGAAGTGCTTTTTGTCATAGAGAATTGAATAATCTGTTATTATTTAATAATCTGTTATTATTTGATCAACTTTAAGAAGTTTCAGAAATCAATTGTATATCTGTTGGTGTTTGATGGTGTCGGATAAAATGCCGTAAATAGATTCTCAAACTTTGTGCTCTTAGTGAATGGCTATCTTCATTGTATTTGATTGCTCTTGCTGTAATCTTGAGAAGATTAGGCTATAATCTTGTCTCCGCTTCCTATGTACATGTAAAATGGTTGTACAAACTCAAATGATATTGAAAAGTTATGTTTTTTTTGCTCTGTTTTTATGTATTTAGAACCTCACTGTTCTATAATATTAGGTTTTTCCTCCACCAAACGTGACAGGAGCTCTCCATATAGGTCATGCTCTAACAGCTGCAATAAAGGTATCACAGATTTCCCTTTTTCACCGTTCAGTTTTGCTGTTTAAAACAGGTAATGCCAATGTGATATATTTCTTGCAGGATACAATGATTTACTGCTCTGTTGTTGTTGTCAATAATTCGACGTGGCGGTAATATTTTGAATAAGATTTCGGTGTTTCTTTGAATTCTCTTTTGCGTGGTTCATGCTGATTTGAGAAATTATTTTTGTTACTACTCACTTGATGCCACGAAGTTGAAAAAACTTGTTTGTATTAGAACACCATACCTCCTCCGTCATTTTACACCTAGTACAAATAATCTTATCTGTGATTCAAAATATTCACTATCACCATCCATATTCAGAAGCTGTGGTAACTATGGGTGTACCAGCGTTTTACAAATGGTTAACCAAAAAATATCCAAAGGTTACTAAAGATGCTAACATCAACACTACGCCAACTATGGAATACGATAATCTTTATCTTGATATGAACTCTATTATCCACCCATGTTTTCATCCCAACGATGATAACATCAATGTTCGTTACTCTCACTCTCTCTTTTACTACTTCTCTCTTTCTTCAACTTATTAATATATTAATGTCTTTCAGAGTTGTCCTCCAACAACATTTATGGAAGTGTTTGCAAATATGTTTGATTACATTGATCACCTTGTTACCATTGTTAAACCTCGCAAGCTTTTGTACATGGCTATCAGTGAGTCTCTCACTAACCCTACATCGTACTGCTTTTTATATTTGTTTGAACAAATAAATCAACAAAGAAGGTTTTGTTTGTGTTATATTATTGATCAGATGGAGTAGCACCACGAGCCAAAATGAATCAGCAAAGGACAAGACGCTTTAGAACTGCTAAAGATGATGAAATGCGTGTAACTATTGATTCCATCTATTATAAAAAAATGGTTTCTTGAGATTATTATCATGGTTGAATGATAGAGCTTTGGTGTTTATTTTTATAGGAAGCTGAGGAAGCTATTTGAAATGGAAGGAAAACAAGTTGTTCCTAAACAAGAATGTGAAGTGTCAGATTCTAATATAATAACACCAGGAACTGAGTTCGTGCATCAACTCTCAAAGGCTCTTAAAACCTATATTTCTTCAAGGATATCCTCTCATTCATTATGGAAGGATATTATTGTAATATAATATTAGTATCTTTTGCATATATAATGCAATACTAATTCACACTCTATCTTCTTTAATAGTATTAATCTACATTTTTTAATGTTTTATACTTAGGTAATTTTATCTGATGCCAATGTTCCTGGAGAAGGGGAACATAAGATTATGTCATTCATAAGAAAACAACGTGGCCTTCCTGATTATGATCCAAAAACTGTCCACTGCTTATATGGCTCGGTACCAAAATCAAAGTTTTTTTTTCTTTTCATAGTAGGTCTATTTGTTAAGAGTGTTGAAATAGTTGAGCTAATTTTGTTGAGTTTTGAATGCAGGATGCTGATTTGATAATGCTTGGATTGTCAAGCCATTAGCCTCACTTTTCTATTATACGAGAGGTTATCAATAGACTATACATTAAATCTTCTATAGCTTAACAATACGAGAAATGCATTTCATTGCAATTTATAAAACATTAACGCGTTACACACACTAGACATAAAACTTACAAGTCGATTCTGTATAGTTTGAATACATTTTGCTGATGTGGTATGTGCGTAAGAAATTCCTATCTTGTACAGGATGTTCCTAATTCTTATGATAAGGTGGAACAAAATGCTGTTAAGAGGTTCAAGGTAAAATAATATGTGATTTAAATCTATAACTTTGAAGTTGATGAGTAGATTATAATTTTCAGTATATATACTAGGTTGCAGCTTTTGCATATTTGGTTGTTGAGGGAATATCTTGAACTAGACATGAAGATACAAGATCCTCCCAAAAATTGCATCGTTGATTTTGAGCGGATAGTTGACGATTTTATCTTTATTTGTTTCTTTGCTGGAAATGATTTTCTTCCCCAGTTGCCCTCTTTGGATATTTATGAGGTTGTTATTAACTTTCTCCCGAACTTAAGAGTTGAATGAATTTGAATCTAGTTACCTATGTTTATTTGTTTTGCTCCATTTTGTTTAGGGTGCTATTGATTTACTAATGACTGTTTACAAGAAAGAGTTTCATAAACTTGGAGGGTATCTTGTTGACATAACTAAGGTAACACTAACAATGTTACATTCTGGTTTATTGTTTGTAGTATATCTCATTATTATCTCAAAGTTTTAATTATTTTATGTGACATTGATTTGAAATCAGATGGGGGAGAAGCATAGTGCTTTTGTGAAGCTATCAAGAGTTGAAAAATTTGTAATCATGGTTGGTACATATGAAGAAAAAATCTTCAATAGAAGAAGTGGAATTAGAGCCAAGAAACTGAGAAGACTTATTATTGATCATGAAAACTCAGTAAGTTCATGTATGCTGTTTGAAAATGGAAACATGAATTATACATTCGTAGATTCATGTGATTCTGTTGTTTTTTCTTTCAGAAGCAAGATGAACAGGATGCATGTAATTTTATCGATATTGAGAATGAAAATAGTTCAGATTGCGCTCTTCGCATTAATAAGGCAGCATCATTCCGAATATTGCAGAATATGATTGTTTTCACATAGTTTTAATTTCCATAGAACTAAAGGGTTTGTTCATTGATATGTGAAGGTAAATAAAATAGAGAAAGGGATCAATCCTTCGTCTGTTCATGATATTTATTTTAGCGGCGAATACCTTGGGTAAGGTTTTAAAATCGGTGTCACGACAGGCATGATAGCACCGACAGTAAGCAAAAATAGTACTACTAGTACTAGAAGTATCTCTCTAGATGAGTATTTCTTCTATTATTTACTATGACATTTATAATTAAACGGTTGCGTTTTGGTTTTCAGGAAGCCATAGCTATTGGAAGAACTTTTGCATCTATGAAGGACTACCAACTCGATGGAAACAGAGAAATGGTTGCATTAGGAACAATGAACGTTGTTGGTTCGATGACTTCATGTTATGTGGCAACCGGTAAGATCATAATGAACAGATGTTAATAGTATGTTTCGACAAATATTTTAAGCAGCTGATCTATTGTTATTTTCTCAGGTTCTTTCTCCCGATCGGCGGTAAACTACATGGCTGGCTGCCAAACTGTGGTATCTAATATTGTGATGTCTGTGGTTGTTTTTCTAACGCTGCAATTCCTAACTCTGCCTTTTAAGTACACTCCAAATGCAATTCTTGTAATAGATATAGTTGTATCACTAATGACTTGTATTATGCATCTGTTCTTAGCTTGACTTAATGAAAATGATTTGCATCAATATTATATGTATGCATCAATATTATATGTATGCATCAATATATTGTATGCATCAATATTATATATATATATATATATATATATATATATATATATATATATATATATATATATATATATATATATATATATATATATATATATATATATATATACATATAATGATTTGGTGTAAAAAAAAAGTGTATTACAATATATAGCGGTCTGAAGAGAGCGTGCTATAATAGCGCTTTGTTAGAAAGTGCTATCAAAATTAAAGCAATTTACCGGTATTTCAATAGCGCTTTGTTTGGAAGTGCTATCGAATATGTGGATTATAATAGCGCTTTGTTTAAAAGTGCTATTAAATATGTGTCCTATAATAGCGCTTTATTGGAAAGCGCTATTAAATATGTGTACTATAATAGCGCTTTGTTTGAAAGTGCTATCAAAATTAAAGCAAATTACCGGTGCTATAATAGCGCTTTGTTTGAAAGCGCTATCAAATATGTGACTTATAATAGCGGTTTTGTAAAAGCGCTATTAAATACAGGTCTTATAATAGCGCTTTTGAAAAAGCGCTAATAATTACCAGAACTATAATAGCGCTTTTAAAGCGCTATTAAAAATTTTGTTTTACAATAGCGCCTTGATTAATAGCGCTTTAAAGCGCTATTAAAAAACAAAAAAAGCGCTATTAAAAAACTTTTTTGTATTAGTGTTTGGTGGATTTGCTGACACTTTCCTCTTCTGATAAGTCGTGAGAACGACCGCCGTTTTTTCCTTTTGTGTGCTCTCCCCTTTTTCTCAAATGCAACTCATGTTTATATAGGCAACAAATTAGGATTAACTATACCTAATGCCCACTTTAAATCCCAACTTAAAGAATTAGTCAAAACTAAAACAACTTAAAACAAACTTAAAACCCTATTTATTTACTAAACATTAAAAATATTATAAAAAGAATAAAATCTTTTCTAATATTTTTAATTTTATAATTTTTGGATGTTTTTATGAATAATATGAAAAAAAGTGAAAAAATAATATTTTTTAAAAAATAATTTAAATAAAATACGAAAATAATAATTAAATAATAAAAAAAAACTATTTTTGTTATTTTTTTTTTTTATGAAAATAGAAAACTTAGAATAAAAATAAAAGAAAAACAAAAAGTGAAGAAGGTGGGATTCGAACTCTTGACCTCTCACACTCACAACTACTTACACACGGTCTCTTGCCAATTGTGCCATTTTATTCATTCGAAATAAAGTGGCACTAGAAACTATGTAAGGTAGGACAAATTTGGGGTGCAACAGATGCCCCTATTTAAATAGCTTTACCAGATGATTTGAGCAACGGAGACTCGAGAAATCGCGGTGAAAGGGATTTAAATACAGATAACCGAAAATTTGGCCCCTAGATGCAGTGATATGCAATGATATGGACAAAATAACACGAACTATAATGCTGACAATGCCATGAATCTAATATGATGCGTATGATGAAAATGAAAAAATGCACGGATGCAGACGAAACAACGTCACAGGGGACGGCGCAACGAGGAAATGCACTGGGGAAGAAGACTCGAGGTAGTGACAAGGTAACATAGGATCCATACGGCGGTAGGACCAGGTAAACGACAGGCGCTAGAGTTTTCGGGACGTTCCTTTAAACGAAGAGATCGAGCGGGATCTTCAGGAATCATCAGAAAACAAATACCGGGATAAACAAACATCAGAACTAATCGGAAGAACATCAAAAGAATTCTGAAAGATAACGAGGATATTCGGAAGAACATCGAATAAACTCTGAAAGATAGAAACAAACGTCAAAGACACTCGGAAGAACATCGAATGAACTTTGAAACACCACAGAGATACTCGGAAGAACGTCGAATAAACTCTGAAACACCACCAAGACACTCGGAAGAACATCGAATGAACTCGGGGAAACAGAGATTAATATCAAAGACAATCGGAAGAACATCGAATGAACTTTGAAACCCACCCACGACACTCAGAAGAACATCGAATGAATGATGGGTTGCATAACATGACAACATCTATGAGGGCATGAGATGAAGCCAAAGTCTTTGAAGGTATACCCGAAACATTTAGGGAAACACTAAACGTACGAGAGAAGTTTGAAGGCATGTCTAGAAGAACATCAGATCATGAACTCAAAACTGAAAAAACGTCAGAAAGAGCAACATATCCGGAAAAACATCAGATAGGAGACATGTCGTATCTGGAAGAACGTCAGATAGACACGACACAGAATTGTTGATAGGTGCCAAGTAAATTGGACTTTGACCATAAGGTAAGACGTGAGTAAAACACGACATCGGGAGAAGAATGCAAATGGGGATAAAACACCCATGATTCCAGGTAAATTGAACTTTGTCCACAAGGTAAGACGCGGGTAAAACACGACCTCAGGAGAAAAAAGCAAATGGGAATAAAACACCCATGATGCCAGGTAAATTGGACTTCGTCCACGAGGTAAGACGCAGGTAAAACACGACCTCGGGAGAAAAAAGCATATGGGGATAAAACACCCATGATGCCAGGTAAATTGGACTTCATCCACGAGGTAAGACGCGAGTAAAACACGACCTCGGGAGAAAAAGCAAATGGGGATAAAACACCCATGATATGCACATGTATAAGAATTATGCTATGATATATGATCACATGCAAATGCAGATGTCGATGACAAGGCTCGACTCTGTTGGTGAAATGACAAAACTGGAAGACTGATTCCTCAACCCATACATCATTGTCATTCTATTAAACTGTATCAAGTTGATAGTCCTTGTAGGAAGGATGAAGAGCTGCTTGGGGATTTTTCAAGTACACTGCCCTAGATTAGACAAACTGATAATTGTTTCAGCTTATCTGATTTGTGAATAGGAATGTTTTACTGTATCCTCGGAAGGCTTGCCCCAGTATAAGTCTTGAAAATTGTCTGGATAAACCAAATCTGAGAAGATCTTGCCTTGTGTCGCTTGCGCGAAAATAAGGTGCCGGCAGAACAGAAGAGTCACCACCTTTCGTTATTTATCCCTCAGAGCGGGAAAGGAAACAATCGGAAAAACCTGACGAAAAAGGGTAAGACAAGGTCGTCGCAACCATTGTCTGGGTTCGGGAGTCGGTTACGCAAGGGGAAGGTATTAGCACCCCTCACGTCCGTCGTACTCGACGAGATCCACGCTTGTTGTGTTTACTGGACGGGTTGGTTTTATCTATCTACCTATCAAGGCTGGCTTAAACAGAAAAACTGAATGACTCGGCAAAGCGTCGCACTTTATGCCTACGTATTCTCATCAGAGAATGAGAAATCAGAGTCAACGTAGTTCGACCTACGACGGGTTATGGGGGAAGGTAGCTCGCCAATACGTCAGTATTGTGCCTACGTACTCTCAACAGGTATGAGAGATCAGAGCTCACGTAGTTCGGGAAACTATGCTTTATTTCCTGTCTTTTACGAAAGAAGTGTTTTTTATTGTGTTTGCAATTTCAACCGCACTAGAGACTATGACCTGAGAGTGAATGTGTCGCATGTCACCCAAAGGGTACCATACTAAACATCCAGATTGTGGAAAAGAAACTCTCCCACAATCCTTTCTCAGATAGCTTAAGGCTCGTAACGTACGAAAGAAATCATTCATGATTACTGTATCTTAAACTGTTTCGAGATGAGAAGAGAACAAGCCCAACTAGGAGGGAGACTATCAAGTCCTACTGTTGTCATGCCATGGATTCATCCTATGGTTGAGGTTTGAACATGGAACTCCTAGAAGTTGTCATGCATAGGTTTCAACCTAAAGTTCTATCATCAATTCCTTATCAAAGGAAATGAGAGTCCTAAGGGATCATGTCAATGATACACCAAAACAGACAAAGCATCAGCTTAACAGTAAAATGCATGCAATGCAAGTGAGGGAGAAAATGTGTGTGGGGCTTCAGCCTCCACAAGCTCATCTCAACCTCAAGCCAGAATGGATAACAGTAATCATACTGAAATATAAAACATCATGCTATCAAGCAATAACAGTAAACTGCAATCATACAGATGAAATGAAATAAAATGCCATCAGGCAAACAAAACACATGGGCAAGGGAGTTGGGCTCTACCGAATACCCGCAAGCAAAGCCACACAGTAACAATACAAGCAGAGGGAGCAACTCAACCTCTAGTGCAATCATGCTCCTAGATTCTACCTACTCTAGATATGAACTTATTCTAATGCATCAAGCAAGTCAAACAAAACACATCAATACAGAAAAGAAAAATAAAGTAGATCAACTCCTCTCTCCACTTCAAGCT